TTCAGCTAACGTTTTCCACAATTATATGAGTAGAGCTAACGTTCCCACTGAGTTTCACACAACCTTGCTTTCCCAAAAAGGTGTTCTTATCCAAGGTGGGCTGTATTTTTGACCTCACCTAGGTTCTATAAACACCCCCAGCAACAGTTGAACCATGATGTCGCAGCGTGTCATCTCTACACATTAACCACTACGCCATATTACCACGAGTGCCCTTTGGTTACAGAGAAAATGTGAATTTCAAACCAGGTCAGGCATTTTCCATATCACATTCTGTGTTGGGATTTTAGATGAAATAAACTTATATATGCTATTTTGATCAGCTCATATATATGATTTACTGGTAGTCTCGAAAACATACTCAATAACGAATAAAGTAATGTCTTCGATCACTATATCAAATATAAGTTTGTCTTATCAGCAATCCCTACAAAGAATGTGATATATAGGATGCTTGACCTATCTTGAAATTAAAATCTGCCCTGTGACCCAAGAGCACGTGTAGTAATGTGGCGTATTGGTTAACATGTCGACATTACACGCTGCACTTTTATGATTCGACTCCCGCTGGGGGTGTTGATATTACCTAGGCGAGGTCGAAACTGTAGTTCACCCTGAATGAGAACAACTTTTAAGGTAGCAAGGCTATGTTAAATCAAATGAAAACGTAAGCTATACTCATATCATTGTGGAAAAATTCAGCTACCAGTCCTTGATCACCTTAAACTAAATAGGGTGAACACAACTATTATAAAGTTATCCTAGTTATCCATATGGCTCAAACATAAATGTGAATTTACTACCATGCGGCAAAATTATTGGCTCATGCACCATATAATAAACATACCACTGAATTCCCATTATTGGAATACAAAATAAGGGAGAGCAAGTCGAGCTGACTGATAACTAGAATGAAATAAAGCTAAATGTACTAGCTTAAAACCCTACCATATGCCTTCTAATAGATTATGCTACTGTAGATCTCCGGTTAAGCATGACGATTAGTAGACACTAAAGTATTGATAGGCTAGGATTACTTCAGCCAAGCAAATTAACCGAACTCATTGAGAGGTTTTACAAGAAGCGTATAGCCTTATCATGGCTCCGATTTTCTCCACCGATTTTTGCATGATTATTTTCCTCCTGCTAAACGTGAAAATTATATAAATAAAACTAATTATAGATCACACAATCTCTTTAGTTAGTTTAACTGGAATTTTATAATATGCAGCAGGCTGATGGTTGAAAATTTGTAAGACTTTTAAAGATATTTGATAAATTAATGTACAATTTACTTTTCCTTTATTACTATCATTTAGGGATCTCCTGGTGACCAGGGTACCACAGGAGATATAGGAGAAAGAGGCTTAAACGGTCCTCCCGGTGATCAGGGAGAACCAATTTTAGGCCAATTTGGGGAATTGGGTGAGAAAGGTGACCGAGGAGAGCCAGGAGAGCCAGGTCTGATAGGCCTTCCAGGTGATCGAACAGTCTGTCGGAAGGAACGGGCCGAACAGCAAGCAGGTACACTTGTCAAGAAAAATAACCCATTCGTCTAGCACTTCTCACATTAAGCAAGTATTTTATTATTCCTTATAGTTTCTATTAAAGGTTGAAATTATTATCAGCTCTCACAATTAGCTTTTTTAACATCTAATATTTAAGAGTATTTGAATATTATACAGCAATTGAGTTAAACATAATTAATTGATTAACTACGAAAAGATCTATTGGGCCAATGAGACCTCCAAAAGTAATTATTTATGTGATGAC